CCAGCGCCAACCAGGCCAGAGCCCACCATCACCAACACCAAAGCACCACCTGCTAGAGGCCCCCCGCCCTGCACGTGCCCCCGTGCTGGCCACACCTCAGAACCTCTGGCAGCACACTGGCCACAGGCACAGGCCACCTCTGCAGAGGGCCCTTGGCTGGATGAGCTGGGCAGACATCACGGGGGTGGCTGCACTGGTCAGCGCACCACGGTCTCCCACGACTGTGCCCAGGGTCTGCATGGTGCCAGGGCACAGGTGGTGCCAGCCCACAGCCTCGAGCTGGCTGGTGGCTGAGTGCAGCCCTGACTGAGGGTGGCTGGCCCTGGAGACCCCAGGCCACTGTCTCTTCTGACACACTGCCTCACACCCACCCCGATGGCAGGGCCGGAAGTCCAGGCCTCTGCCTAGGCCACACTTAGGGCAAGGCAACTGTTGCGGCCCTGGCTGGACAGACAGATGGATGAACTGGCCTAGCTTAAGCCTCCGTGTGGGGTCCCCGACTCCCTGCCCCTCCAAGCTCAGAAGCACATACTGGGGGGACAGATTCTTGTTCCCGAGATGCTCAAAAGCTACCACTCCAGACTCAGAGCCACGGCCCCACACGCCAGCCAGACAAGACAGCTCTGTGTCAGGACGCGCCCTACTGTTCCACATCCCCTGTGCCCGGGACGCACCAAGCCAGGGCCCAGTCCGTCCCCACCCGAACCCAGAGGACCGACCACGGCCTCCGAAGGCTGGGGACAAGAGTCACCCTCCCAGGATGGGCAGCATGAGCGGGCAGGCAGGCTCCCAGGAGATGGTGCCAATAAATTATTAACCCTCTGCAGAGCAAGGCGCCGGCACCTCCCTATGATGAAGCATGAATAATACAGGGAGCCCGGAGCACGGTGTCACAAGCACATCTGGAAGGAAACCCGGGCTCAGGGCTGGGAGAAAAACGCACCAGACCTGACGCGCACGTGGGGGCGTCCACAGCCGGCAGGAAGCTCTGGGCTGACGGGAGGACTGCGGTCAACCCGAGGTCCACAGTGACCCAGGAAGACCAGGGGCCTGAGCGCTCACCCCGCCCCCAGGAAACCTAAGCTCCGAGGGCAGACGACTCAGCACTGTTCCTGCCCAGGCCACGGGCCCAGCTGAGGCGCTCAGAGGCGACCTGCTGCCCAAGGACGGGCTCCCCGTGACGGGCAGCACACACGGGGAGGAGGGCCCAGCCGGCAGTGGGGGTTGGTGACTCGCCCTGGCATGGCCAGGCAGTCCAGCCAGGCTCCAGCAGCTTCCGGAAGGCCCCTGCCTGGCGCATGCGGCTGCTCCCAGGGGTCAGGTGCAGCCTGAGCACCCCCTCAGCACGAGGTGTGTGCCGGGCACCCAGAGGAGCCAACAGGAAGGCCGAGGAACGCTGCGCGGGACACTCCTTGGTGACGAACAGAAACCCAGGACAAGGCCCTGCAGTGCGCCCCGTGGGGGCAGGGGGGCGGCAAGCCAAGATGAGAATCAGGCCGGACTTCCGTCTCGAGCCCCCAGGGCAGGACAGGAATCTGCCTACATCCACCCTTGCTGGGCCACCGAGGACAGGGACAACCCAGCCCGCCCGGAGGAACCGCAAGGACACGCGGGTGGTGTACTCACAGGGTCTCTGAGCTCCTCGCTGTCGCGGGGCGAGGTCCGCGGTATCTTCAGGGGGAGCTCGTCTCCACACTCGGTGTCCGAGGCATTTGGAGACTCCGCTAGGTCAAGGAAGTCCTCTCTCTTGTGACCTCTGAACCTGATTTTGTCCAGCCTCCTGAGCATGTTCAGCACCGAGCGCCTCTGTCTCACCTGGACATGACGGGCGGGCTCCCTGGAAGAGAGGGGGGTGCAGTCACACCTGCTCTCAGAGTGGACAGTCCAGCCTGCAGACCCCTACCTTGCTCCCACCAGGAAGGGCCAACTGTCACCACCCAGGCCAGCCCAGCTGGCGGCTGAGAACCTCTGGCCACCTCCACCACAGCAGGGACCCCTGGCTGAGCAGGGCAGGAGGAAATCCAGGGCCCTTCGTGTCCAGATGAGCCAGGCTGCCCACACAGCAGCCCCCGACTCAAGGGCAAGGCCAGGAGTGGCCCTGAGAGCAGGAGGGCCGACTTCTCCAAGGTCCTAACCAACCGTCAGGAAGCGGGTGGACCCCGGCTGCAGACGCCGGCCACGTCTCTCCTTGGCCTGAAACCCTCCTCCTCTGGGCCTCACCTGCATGGAGGCTCAGCAGGGGCCTCACCTCCTTAGAGAAGCACCACCTTCACCTCAGATGCAGGGTGCTGGCCACCTTAGCTTCCTCCCTGTCCAGCCCGGGCAGCTGGCAGAAGCCCAGTGTGACAGCACATGGGCCTGGTGCCCCGCCACACTGTGTGCTCTGTGCTACACGAAGGACGTGTGTAAATCCACACGTAAGTACACAAAGGGATTCGTGTGCCCTGGGGTGCCCACCCGCCACACCTCTGGCCCAAAAGAACCAGGAAGCCACGGCAACCGCAAACTCCGGGGGGCAGCAGGTGGCTATTCCCCACGTGCAGCCAGCCTCAGCCCCAGGCCTGCAGCAGGGCTGGCCCCGCAGGGAGGGCTCCGCAGCTCCAACCCCAGCGTCGGTCACACGGCTGCAGGGCCAGTGTCGCATCAGGGCCAGCAAACTACTCTGACCCAGTGGCAGCAGAGGCCCGGGTCCCCCCAGAGCGCGGGGCTTGGGTGCACCTGGGCTCCCAGCCCGTCTGCCACTTGCGCCTCCCTGAGCAGAGGTCTTCCTTCTGGAACAGGAGCGGTCCTGCCAGGCAGAAGTGTCCCGGGACTCAGGCCGTTTCCACGCAGGGAGAGCGCCAGGTGGGAGCAGGATGGTCTCCGCCGAGCGCCCAGGTGGGAACAGTTTCCTGTTTGGGCAGCAGTAGGAAGTCCTCACGGAACTGTCACCGTCCGCAGCCCTGACCAGCCCAAGCTCTCCACGGCCCCCGGCATCATGGCCAGGCCAGGTGGGGACCTGGCATCATGGGCAGGCCAGGGTTAACCCAGTGGGGACCCCTGACCCAGCCTGGAGGTACCAGAACCTGCTGAGCCACGGGGCTGTCGAGGCGCATGGCTGGGGTGCTGCCAAGCAGACCAGTCCAGCTCACTGGGCACAACAGGCAGCTTGCCGCTGGCCCTGGTGTGGGACAAAGGAAATAGAATGTGCATGACCACTCCTGACGCCCAGTGTCCGCTGGGAGCCAGGGGAGCCCACCAGTGAGCGGTGCTGTGGGTGGGGCAGTGGCCACAGCTTGGAGGGTGGGGCTCATGCTGGCTACGTGGACAAATATCCCGTACAGGAACAGGGGATCCCAGGGGGCCCAGGGACACTTAAGAAGGAGAGAACTCTCCTCAGCAAATCCTAGGGGACAGACAACGATCTATATTAAGGACCGAAAAATAAAGTCACAAAGTGGAAAAGTCTAGAGGACGACCGGACAAATGTGAGAACCTACCTTTACTATAAAACAGAAAAAACGCACAGCGGGGGGAGGACGCGAGCCGCTGGCGGGGAGACAGGACGGTGGCCTTGCCTCAAGAGCCTGCGTGGGCTGTGGGACGACAGGCCCTCAGCACCCACCAGGGGAGCCACCCCCGGGGCCAGTCCCCTCCAAGACAGAACCCTGGCCCCGGCCCCAGGTGCAGGGGGCGTCTCAGGCGTGGTGGCGCCCCTTGGGGACAGTGCATATGGCAACACTGAGTGACACCCTCACCACCGCCCAGCGCAACAAGCTGGTCACCAGGCATGGAGGGGACCCGGGGCCAGGGCCTGCACGGGACGGCGTTCGGGGGTCCTCACAGCTCTCTAAGCACCTGCGCGGTTTCCTCCTGCAGAGCCGGGCCAGGCCAGCGCCCCCCACTGCGCTTCTCTAAAGTGTCCATGACGGTAAACCACAGAACGTAAGGGCCACCAACTCAGCCACTTTGGGGGTTGATTGAGCCCGGGGACGTGGAGTGCATCCAGAACGTGCGGACACTTGGTCTTGAAAACTGAAACCTGAACCCTGGGTCCTGCCCAGGCCCGGGACCACAGACGGGGTCAAGTGCGGCAGCGCCGTTCGGGAAAGGCCGAGAACGCTCGGGCGGGGGCAGCACCGAGGGGGCGGAGGTCAGCCGGGTGCCGGGGCTGCGCATCCCTGGGCAGAGCGAGAGGCACACCAGCCTCCTGCCTCAGCCTCCTGCTCCCCGAGCGCCCTGCCTGGGGTTCTGGACTGGGCTGCCTGCCCCCTCAGTGTGGGCAAGCCCAGGAGGTGGCTGCAGTGGGAGAGGGGACAGAGGCAGCAGGGGGTCACAAGCAAGGTCAAGGGGACAAAGGCATCTGAATCCAACACACGCCTGTGACCCACTCGCTCCTGTGACCCACTCGGCCTCACACGGGCCACCCCACGGGACTGGGCACATGGGCCCGGGGAGGGCCACTGAAATGCAGCCCCCAGAGCCAGGCTCCTCCCAGCCCAGACCCGCCCACTCCTCAGACGGATGGACTCCTCACACTCCGTCTAGGAGGCCAGAGTCCAGGCCACCGACCAGGCCAGCAGGACAGTCCAGGCTGTGCTTCCCCCACACCTGGCCTACACATGGCCCCACGCCCCCCGGCCACATCAGCACCCGTGCCAGGCTCCTCAGTGTCCCACCTGACACCAGGACACACCGGTGATGGCCCAGGCTCCAAGTGTGGTGCACCCACAGGCTGCAGGTGGCGTGAGTTTGGGAGGAGGCTGCCCAGCCAGAGCACCCGATGCTCAGGAGGAGAAACCCAGGCGGGTTCCTGGGTGCCGGTGCTCCCGGGGCGGGACCTCGGATTCCACCTGTGACCCCAGAGCAGGGGCCTCCCCGCAGGCCAAGTCCTGCCCGGCTTCAGCCACACCCCGTGTCCTGCACGGCCCCTTCCCTACCCCGCTGCCCCACCTGGGCCCCCGCGGCCCACCCAGCCTCCCCTCCTCCTGCCCACCACTGCGCCCAACTGCCACCAAGTGGAACCAGCTCCTTCCCCTGCTGGCTCCCCGCGTGCCACTGGGCTCTCAGGTGGCCCCGCCCCCTCCTCAGAGGCCTCCCTGGGCTGCTCGGGACCTGACCGCTCCAGGAGACGCCCCCGGGGCCTGCTGCCCCCAGGAGTCAGAGCTTTCCTCTGAGCAGCCGACCCACTCAGAGCGAGACGGCGGCCCCCAGCCCACCCCCGGGGCCTTCACCTGGAAGCAGACGTGCCTGGACCCCCTTAGCTGTGGCGACAAGGACATGCTCCCAGTGACCACATGCTGACACCCGCTTGAGACCACAGGCCCAGGGACGGGCGTCTGCTCCTGGGCCTCCGCAGCCTGCCCGGGAGGGGGACTCAGCTGCCAGGACGCCCCAGCTCAGGCGGCAGCCCGCCAGGCTCCCACCCGTTCACAGGAGCACCACAGCATGCTGAGCGGCCGCACACAAAGGAGGCAGTGTCTGGGTCCTGGGCTTGGAACCACAGGGCTTCGCTTCCCTTCAGAGCCCAGGACTGAAAAAATAAAGCCGTCCCGGAACCTGCCTGAGCCCCGCCCCTCCACTGCACCGCCCCCCAAGGTGGGCCCAGCAGCCACACAAGCCCCACCCTGCTATGGGTGGCTCGCCCGCTGATCCCAGGGAACCACACCCACAGGCACCCACTCGCTCAAGATGCCAGCAAGACCCACCTGCCTAGGCTCTTCAGGTCTCTGTCCTCTGGGGAAAGTGGCCCTACACGTCAAGGCCTGGGATCACACACCCCCAAAAGGCCAGTCAACTGGGGCCGCCAGAGAGGGGGTGAGGACCAAGCGACCAGCAGGGTCTGTGGCCGTGCACGGTGACCAGAGGAGCAGGGAGCAGCAGGACGAGGGCCGGTCCTGCTCGACACCCGGGTTCCAGCCCACACCTGGGTGCCTCAGCCGCCCTGCGGGACAGGCCCAGGACCTGGCACCACAGCTCAGGCCAGCCAGTCCTGTCTCCCAGGCCATCTGACCCCTGCGGCGCTGGGGTATGGCCCTTAGCCCACCCTCATAGGCCCTGGTCACTGGTGGCCACCTCCCCTGCCACATTCACCACTTGGTCCTGCAGTCTGGGCTGCGGGGAGACCTGGGTGTCATATGCTGTCCACTCTGCACCCTCCTGGCCTCCACCAGCTTCCCACGGCACATCAACATGGTCCATCACCTTCCAAGTCTGGACACCCTGCAGGAAGCCCTGACCCGCCCATCCACCCTGGCCGGCAGCCTTCACTGTGCGCCAGGCGCCGGCGGAGACCTGAGCAACCCGGAGACGTGCCCAGCAGACAGACTGGCGTGACACAGACGCGCCTCGGGTGTCTCACACCTCGCTTGCTTTTGATCTTACCTAATGTCTACTTTGCCGACTCGGATGTTTGGTGACGCCAGCTCAGGAGCTCCTGAGCTCAGCACTCGGCCAGGCCCAGCCGTGGCGGCCACACGTGGAGGGGGACTGTGATGCGCCACCTACCTGACTTCCCGCGGCAGCTGGAGAGGGCCAGAGGCAGAGCCAGGAGCGAGGTACACGGGCTCCGGGTGGCCTGCAGGGGAAAGCAGCCCGGGAGGCGGAGGGGCACGTCCAAGGAACGCAGGGGCCACCCCTGCTCTCACTCTCCTGTGACCAGGCCAGGGCCCCACGGGCGGTGCCAGGCCTCCCGGCCTCGGGGCGCTGCCTGGGCCACTGCCCCGCCCGGGTCACTGCTTTCACCTGTGCTCCCCACCGCCTGCCACCTCAGTCCCACCACCCAGCTGGGGGACCCACAGCCACCCCACATGTGGCCTCTCCCGTGCAGGGTAGAGGGGCGCCTTACCCTCATCGTGCCCCACGCCACACGAGGTGGGGGCAGCAGGGCAGCCCTGGCCAGGCGACCTTGGCTGCATGACAGGACGGGAGCTCTCTCCACGCCCAGGGTCCCCAGCCACAGGATGTGACCGGGTTGCTGAGGCAGTGGCAGGGTGACGTGAGATGGTGGTGCACCTGGGTGACGGCACCGTCACAGAGCCACACCGGGCCCTGGGCTGGCACCACCCTGTGACGGCCGGCGCGAGAGGCAGGGGCGGCTCTGACGGCCCCTCACTGCAGGCCCTAAGCAGAGACCCCCAGAAAGGCCTGGGGGAGGGCTGCAGGGGCAGGAAGCAGGCCCCACCTCAGGAGTGCCCAGCAGCCACAAGGCTCTGCGCCCACCAGGCCACGCCCTCCGACCCTGTCCTCGCGGTCCCCGCGAGCTGAGCGGGAGGCGAGCCTCCCTGAGCCGCGTGCCCTGGCTGTGCACGGGGAGGGCGCCTGCGACGCGCTGGGCACCCGGCCTCGGTCCGGCCCCCACTCAGGGGTGTCCTGGGGACCCACCACTGTGCCCGCATTTCTCCAGCCTCTGTGCACCCCGGAGCCTGCTCAGGGCCAGACCACCTGACACCAGGAGGGAGCCTTCTCCCCGCAACTCAGATACCACCTGAACCTCAGTCAGAGCAAAGCAAGAAAACCAAGGTCACAATGACAAGGCCACCGGCACCCCACCCACAGGCAAAGCACAGGACCAAAGCTCCTGCAACTGCCCATCTCCCTACACCTGGGCTCCCTCTGTCCTGGTCACAGTGCTGAGGGGGAAGGGCTGCTGTTAAACCAACTGACAGATGGGGAAACAGAGGCTGGGAGGCGGGGAGACAGGAGCACGGCAAGGCAGGGAGAAACAGCCTGGCTCTGAGGCCCCAGGACTTCCCAGGCCAGCCATGCCCTCCTCAGCATATGCCTCTATTAAGGTAACCATCACACTTTCTGACAGTCCCAGGCCCCTCTGCCTGTAGGACTGTGTGGCCAGATGGCACAACTTTAACAAGACAAAACCAGCAAGAAAACCAAAATCTCAGGAGCCAAGAACAGGCAAAAGCCTCTGCTGCATAAGCAAATCAGCTAAGCCTCAGGAAACCCACAGAATCCCTCCCTGGCACGGGTGCTCTTCTCCGACTCTCCACGCTCCAGGCAACCAGACCTCAGCAGAGGCAGCCAATGAGAGCTGGAGGAGGCAGCTTCCGGACTCCCCATGCGCCCTTCTCCCTGTGGCGGCCCTTGCCCGTGTTCCTGGAAGCAGGAAGCAGGTGTCAGCGTGCAGCCACATGGAGCCCGGGCAGCGCAGGCTGAAGGGCAGGAAGCAGCTCCGGGGGGCTCCAGCCCAGGCTGCTTAGGCAGGTGTGAACCCCAGGGCCTGGGGCACAGCCACGAGCCAGAGACACGTCCACAGAAACAGCAGCAGCAGGTGGGCCTGGGCCGAGGTCCTGTGACCACCGTCCCAGCCATACGCCTCCAAGGAAGGAGCTCTGGCCCGGCCCAGGGGTGACCGCGGTTCAGCAGGCCAGGAGGCCCACGCTCCCGCAGCCCTGGGGCCCACTCGGCAGGGTCCTGCCACCTGGGGGTGCTCTCAAGGGATGGGCGGGCCAGGCGGGGTCCACCAAGGTCAGGACCCCAAGTCAGAATAATCTCAGTGAGGGGTCCCCACACATTCTTGCACACTGTGTCCCCCCCAGGCCATGTGCTGGGCCATCTCCTCCCACCCATATGCCACCCGAGGCAGACAGCTAGCAAGGGAGGTGGGACCCCAGAGGCCGCGTAGGACAGCCAGCTCTGGACAGCCACCAGCCCCGGGCACACCTAGGACAGCCAGGGGCCCCTCCAGGGTCAGGGAGGCACCTCTCACTCTCCAACCCCCACCCCCGCCAGGAGCCCAGAGCAGCCAACCGGACCGGCCAGGCACCAGGACTCCTCAGGAGCTGGGCCGCACGGGGACCAACGTCTCTGGGATCCACCTGGCTCCAGTGTGTGCTGGGCCCCAGGACAGGACACCCCTGATGGTCCGCCAGGCCCGGGGGCACTGGATCCATGCACCCAGGGGCAAGCCTCGGGTGTGAAGGGATTCAGGAGACCTTCGGGTGGCAGCTGGGTACCCTCGGGCTCCCCTCCTCTGGCATCCGGCAGATTTCAGAGAAGTTCCCGGTCCTGAGCAGACCCAGCACCTAAGTGACCCTCGGGCTTAATCTGCTTCCGGCAGCTTCTAGTTTCCTGACTTGGCCCAGGGGCGGCCCAGAGGCTCCCACAGCTGCCCGGACTCACAGGCCAAGCCCCGGATACTCACACACCAACACAGGCCACCACAAAATGCTCTCGGAGTTCAGCACAGCACATGGCAAGACAAGGATCCCACCTGGCAGAAGACCACACACAGCCCAGGGCCTGGCCAGCCACTCCACAGCCGGCGTTTATACCTGTGCAAACCGCGAGGTCCCACAAACAGAACGTACAAGGAAAAGCCAGACAAAATCCCTCCAGGTCCACTCGGCACCCAGGCAGCGAACCAGTCCCCTGGGGACAGAGAGCTCAGTCTCCCAACTGCCTGAAGGGTGGGGCAGGGCCTGCGAGTGCTCGGACACCTGTTTCTGCCACCTGCTGGGGCTGTGGACTGCCCAGGCCGCACCCCATCCAGGCGGGAAGAGGGGAAACAGTCGTGGAGCGTGGAGTCACACTCCGGCATGCCGGACGCCAAGAAAAATGACTGGGCCACCTAACAGACGTTTAATGAGCACCTACTGCATGCCAGACACGCCTGGGCTCTGGTACCGGGGTGCAGACGGGCGAGCTGATAAACCACAGAGCTTCCTTCTCCACAGCAAGCGTTGCTCTGAGCGCCACAGCACTGGGGGCCGCCCGTGGAGACGGCCACCCCCAGGCTGACAGCATGAGGAGCCCCAACAAGCCAGAAAGCAAGTGGGGAGCAGGAGAAGCCTCACTGGGGCGCCCTGTCCTGCCCAGGTCAGCATGGGCCCCACCGACCCACAACCTGGACAGGAGGGGGTGGGGCCAGGCTGAAGTTGTGGCCGGTGGGCATCTGGGATTCATCTGGAGGCACAGGACTGGGGGGACAGGCAGGCCATGCTGGCTGACCCTCCCCACCCTCCCCGGGACTTTGGTAGGAGCGGCCTTCCCAGAGGATAAGCCCGGCCCTGGCCCCTCCTCACATCTCCAGGCCTGGCTACGCGGAAAACACGGTCACCACAATAGTGTCACTGTGGTCCCCCTTTCTAAGCACATGGGGACACGGAGGTTCAGGGGTGGCAGATGAAGCCACTGCCAGGTGCAGAATGGAGTCCAGGGCTTTATTGCGCCTGTCACCTGCAAGGGCCATCCAGGGCCCGAGCGAGGCCCAGCAGAGCTGCGGCGCACGGCACGGCACCCCTCGGCAGGCTCTGGTCTGGTTCCGGCCCCCCTGGGTGGGGCCAAGGTGGGGACAGGCCACAGCCACAAGGGACAGTATGGGGGCCTCAAAACCTCAAACACAATTCCTCTGGCCTCTGGATCGACCC